GAGAAGACACAAACCCTACAGTAATGGGCCGAGCACTTCAGAGGCGTCCCACCACCATCTCCGATGCCGCCATCGCCCTTCTGCTTCAAGTGAAAACCAACGCTGACCTCGACCTCGCGCCATCTCTACACGAAACTATCAAGGTCGTACAACAGCTCTTAAGCGGGAAAGCGCCCGGATCGGACGCGATCCCTGCTGAGACCTACAAGCACGGTGGCCCTCTACTCGTGGATCATCTGACGGCGCTCTTCCAGGAGATGTGGCGTTAAGGAGAAGTCTTGCAGAATTTCAAGGACGCCGCAACCGCCCATTTCTATAAGCGGAAAGCCAACCGTCAGCTTTGTTACAACCACCGAGGTATCTCCTTGCTGAACATAGCTGGGGAAGATTTTTGCTCACATTCTTCTCAGACGCCTGAACCACCATCTGAAACAAGGTCTCCTGTCGGAAACCCAGTGCGGCTTCCGCCGTCATCGTGAGACCACCGACAAGATCTTTGCCGCCCGTCAATTGCAAGAGAAGTGCCAGGAGATGCGGACCCATCTGTACTCCACCTTCGTGGATCTGACGAAAGCCTTCGACACGGTGAATCGCGAAGGACTGAGGGAAATCATGCAGAAATTCGGCTGTTCTGAACGATTCACTCAGATGGTGCGTCAGCTGCGCGACGGCATGATGGCGTGAGTCACGGAAAACGGAACTGTCTCAGAGGCATTCGCTGAGACAAACGGAGTGAAACGGGGCTGCGTCCTCTCGCCTCATGCCCTCCGCCATGCTGATGGACACCTACTGTGTCGAACGTCCTGAGATTCTCATCGTCCACAGGACGGACAGTCAAATCTTCTACCTCTGGCGGATGCACTTCCGGTCGAATGTATTCACAATTCCCGTCCATGAACTTCTCTTCGCAAACGACTGCGCTCTCAACACCACCTTGGAAGGGCACATGCAAAGGAGCATATATCTCTTCACCGCTGCTGGCGACAACTTCGGCTTGGTCATCAACACGGAGAAAACGGTGGTTATGCGTAAACTGCCACCCGATGCTGCCGAGGTCACACCCCACATCAACGTGAAGGAAAGTTAACTGCAAGTCGTGGACAACTTCATCTACCTGGGTAGTACCCCTCTCGCAACAATAAAGTCGACGATGAAGTGGCCTTCTGGATCTCCAAAACCAACCAAGCCCTCGGCCCTCTGCGAAACATCGTCTGGAATCGACACGGTCTCCACATCAGCACAAAATTGAAGATGTACAAGCGGTCATCCTGCCGACGGTGCTGTATGAAGCGGAGGCCTGGATGGTGTACAAGAAGCAGGGGCGAAGACTCAGTCATTTCCATCTCAGCTGCCTTTGGTGAATGCAGAAACTGAGATGGCAGGTCCGGATCCAGGACACGGATGTACTGGAGTGGACGGGAACCCTCAGCATCTACGCCATGCTGATACAGTTGCAACTGCGTTGGAGCGGCCACCTCGTACGGCTGGGCGACGAGCGACTAGCCAAACGACTCTTCTATGAGAATTTCGCCACGGGTTCCCGGCAACAAGGAGGCCAAGTCTGTCATCACAAGGACACTCTGAAGACTGCCCTGAAGCGTCTGCAAATCAACCCGGCCAACTGGAAAGATCTCGCCGAGACCGATCGACCTGGAGGAGGACAATGAAGACAGGCACAGCGATCTACGAAGCCAACCGCATCACCGCCGCGAGAGCTAAAGCCGAGGCTCACAAATCTCAACTGCGCCCACCCCGCAATGCCAACGCTCAATCACCCCGACCTGCCCATGCTGCCAGCGGACGTTTCGGGCACCAGTGTGTCTTGTGGGGCATCCTAGTACCATCTGCAGCACCAGGGCTACACAAGCTGCTGTTTCTCGCCAGACTCTGCCTCATCCTCCACGCTGACAACTAACATTGACCGCGCCTCCGAACCCCCGCTACCATTCCCCTCCTCCTC